GCAGGATGAATGTGAGGCTAAAGCCAGGAGCATCTTCAACTAAGTGTCCGTTTGACAAGACAGTACCGATACCAATATGGATGATTAATTTAGAAACAGGGGATAGTCTTTTTTCTGTTTTTCCTTGCATTGCCATGAGCCATTAATGCCTCCACCGCACGGAACGTTGCGAAAATCATCAAAGTGTTGAAAAGGACAGAGGTGTCTTAAAGTAGCTCCTGCCTCTAATGCAGTGCCTCCTCTGCAAACTCGTCTTTAGATGTTTTTTATTCCTCAAGAGACGCCAGGAGAGACGCGCAGTCGAGATTCAAGGACTTTCTCTCCTCCAATCAGATAGAGTTCTAATAATCCACTGAGTGATACGGTCTCACTAGGGGCTGATACCAAAAAACACAGTCACAGTGTCGATTCATCTTGTTCCACAGACTGCAGAACACTCAGATATTGTTGAGATTTCTCTTTTTTTTTTCAAAATCATTTGTTTTTGCCAATCCCATCGCAGTGACACGAAGGGGAAAGGATATTGCAGCTATTTGGTCCTGGAATGTGGTGATTTCTCTATCGTTACGTAGCTCTCAAAGCATCGTTTCTCCAACCTACTTGGCACAACTTCCCCTCATCATTCTCATAAATCCTACCCCGCTTCTCAACTCTCTCAGTGCCCTGACCCACTGACTTGACTTTCTTGCGCTAAAAGCCAAACGGAGCTGAACGAATAAACAGCTGATGGCCGAACAATGGTGACATAAAAACCGTGCTCAGGAAAAGTCCGGCGGTTTATTTTTAGGGCGCTTTGTGGCTGGTAGGCCAGGGAGGAAGCAGGAAGTCGGTGTGGTTGCTGTGGGGATGGGAGGAGAAGAAAAGAATTGGAGCAAACTGGAGGGGAAATGGGTGTGGTGGGCTCTGCCTCCCATTAGCCAAATACCTACCGACCACAAAAAGAATAATTTGCTAGCACAGAAAACTGGTAGTCTTATCCGGGGAATGCATTTTCTAAAAATGTAGCTATTCCGTTACAGGCTGGTCACTTCAGAAATGACCTCAATTCTAACTCAGTATTAGCTGAAGTTAGGGCTCTGGTTAGATGCCTTGTAGAATTCATCAGGCTCATTATAGTTCTACGAAACCCAACCGTTTCAGAGAAAGCTGTCATTCAGACATAGAATGTTTCATGCATTTCATTTTCAGAGTTTGACACATGCATTTGAAACAAGTGTTGGAATTAAGCCAGTGTACAAAAAACAGGGAGCATTGTGCATGCAACCGTGGCAGCAGCTGACCAAAATAACCAAACTTCATGCCTACACACTACCAGGTTTCTATAAAGATCACAGCTGGGTTTTGAATGCTGTCATAAATACCAAGTCTGGAGGGAGCCCAATGTAGTGACATTAGTTTGGCCTCTATTAGCTGTGCACTATTTGACCCCCCCCTGCTTTGGCTCAATTTGACCATGTTATCCCATTTGTCCTGGACACATTCTTTTGGGACAAAATGTCCTAATAGAATCCTGGGTTCACAGCTGCTCTTTATGGAACAGGTTCACGAGTCATTTTTTCACCTCATTGTGTCGATGTGCAAGAATACATAATGTCAGATCGATGAGTCTTTAGTTTTGAAGGGAAATCATAAACTCAGAAACTAATATTTCATCAAATCTGGGAAACGGCGGCCGAACCTTTTCGAATAGGAATATTATCCTTTCATTGTCAAATATAGCGCTGTAGCGGCATGGTCGGTCTACTTTGTCATGTTTTGCATTTCATGATGCCAAATGTTTTAAATAAGTAAAAGCCTGGACAGTCTAACAGCAGGACACTTAAACCACAAAGCCTTTGCTAATTTAATGAATGGCGTTTTGCATTGTTTTGCTTAATTATGCAAGGCCCTCCCTGCTCTTAAAGCTGTATATTACCTCTTAGCACTGGCTCTCGCCAGAAAAGGGTTATTCCACTTTGCTCTGTCCGTTTTAATAGGTTTTGGCCGTAAGAACATAACTGTGTTCCTAGAACATGATCCCACAGAGCTTCTTTATTGCTGTATTTCTTTTGTTTTTTTCTGCGTTGTATTACAAATTGAACTGCGGTTTATCAATATAAAAAAAAAATCTGTAAATGTTGTTAACTTTTGATATTTTCTGTTAAATGTTTTATAGATAGACCAGATTAAATGATGATAAGTGGATTTTTTTTTTAGAAATGCTCAAACAACAGCAACGGGATCCTGATTAAGTTAACCTGACAATGATAAAATGTCTCACCATAATATATTCATCTTCCGCACTTGTCCTGCAGCCAGGGTACATTCAAGTAAATCTAATTTAAGGGCTTATTCAATGTATAAATCTCTGCTAGTTGGCAAAATTCTGTCACTCGTACCTACTCTTGCTCTCTTCTGTATATGTATGAGTATATTAGCATTTGGTGTCTGCACAGATTTAGACTTTCAGATGTGACCTTTGTTGTCTAAATGTCAGGGAGATTGGAGAGGGAGCCCACAGAGGTAGGACAGGCTTATGTAATCTGCTCACTGAGTCTCACACTCACAGGCACGCAGAAAAGCACAGATGAGGGGAGGGAAAAAAGCATGTTTGAGAACGGTTGTCATATCTCAGCTGTGATGCACCGTGCTGCTCTTTGCTCACTGAAAGCCTGGCTTTCAGGAGCCACCGCTTTTATCAGCATGCATGTGCAGAAAGTGAGCGGGAAATTATTTATGGCTTTAAAAATACTGATATGTTGCACTCCTTTGGTGTTTATTCTTTTGAACTTCTGAGGTCTTTCTTCCCCATTCTGAAGCTCTCGGGTGTACATGAAGTGTATATACCATTTAGGTATGTTTAGATGGCTGGGGTTGGCTGGTTTGGGCAAGTGGAGACTAAACTATCGCTTCATTATTCTCTTCCAAGAATTCATCCTGATTGCATTGTTCTGTTGTATCGTGATCTGCCAACACTGATAGCATCAGATCAACAGAACAAGTGTGACAAGCCAGCATTGAGCTCATGTGCGATTCAGTGTTCACTTTAAGTATCACTGTGAAAATGACAGCCAAAGCAGGGATGTGCAAGCCCATGGCTAAAACGTGCATTAGACGAGAGCTGGGGCCATTTTCTCCTGTCACTGACAACACCGAGCCTTAAAGGGGCCCTGAGAAGAAAACGCTGCGACTAAGAAAAGCGAGCTGAAACGGCGCACCAATGAGAAGGTTTGAATACTTTCAGATCTTGTTTCTGATACTTTGAGCCTTTATTTATTACATGAAGCCGGGATGTTGGTTTGCCAGCATGTGTGATACTCAGGAAATGGTCTCCATGTTTGTTTTTTGTGTCTACTGTCTGTGTAAACACATAGCATTGTGTTTTTCTTGATCAAGCTGGTAAAGTGATAACCGCAGTACAATGTCCAGTAAAAGCTGGGGGTTTGGGCAAATGTAAAGCGAAACATAAATGTAAATCGGTTAGCGTTTATTTTATCAGAATTGATGCATTGCAGCTTTTCAGATATTAGATGTGGGGTTTCAGTATTTTCATTGTTAAATATGATTGAATACTTCAGTCAGCTAATGCAGTTCATTGGCAACAAATTATGAACATTATGGATCATCCCACACAGACTGAGTCTTTCAGATGTTCACTACTGTTAAAAAAGCAGTTGGGCCACAATGAAGGTCTCATTTTCTATTGAAAAAGGGGTTCAGAAAACCACATATTACTTCACTACATCGGAAAACAAACTTGTGTCAGCTTTTGATTTTTTATTCCCTATCGTTTGTACTGTTTTATAAACATGAAAAATTAGTTTTTTTAATTTAATTTTATTGTATTTTTTTGCACTGTCACAGTTTTAGATGTTTAGATGTTCAGCTTGTACTGTTTCAGGGTCAGTGCTATTTGAACATATTGGGCTTTGAATGTGTTCCATGTCAATCAAAACATGAATATCTTTATTCACATAAAGAGTTTATTTATAACGTAGGAGAATGATTATAACTGTGCCATCACAGCTAAAAAAATACACTTGTACAATTTTCTGTACCGGTCTAGTTTCACTCTTTCAGAATTTCTTTATTTGTTTGAAGTTTATTTTTAAAAGCATACCTACTTCATTTATTTCTCGACAATATTTTCAACGGAAAAAAAAAAAAAGCCCCAGATCTGACCTTGCACAGGCAGCAGTCACAGGGGGAGAGGAGGAACTTTCCTTCTACAGGAAGGAGCAATATTGAAGGTGATCGCTCTGGTGATGCTGCCTTAGTGAGGGATGTTTGTCTGGTGCACCAGTGATAACCCAGACTTTGGCTGATTATCATATCAGCTGAGCATACTGTATCTGATTAATGGGCTGCCACAGATAAGATTGGCACATCGAGGCTGACATCACGCCGATGAAACGATAAGATGGAGATCGCTTCTATAAGAGCGCAGGCGCATTCATTATTTTTACATTTGTTCTCCTTTAGCCGTTAATGACAAATGATCAATCACGAGCGGGGTATTTTTAGACGGGGTGACGGATGAATGAGGTTATGATTCTGGTCTCGGTAGTCCAAAAAAAAAGGAGGCTGGCCATGCCCCTCCCTCGACTGTAGGTGATGGCTGGAGCCGGTAGTCCACTACGGGACCGCCTCTCAGCCTCATCTGCTTGGTCCCCGCTCACCGGAACAGCCTGCGCTCAGCCTCTATATCTCTCTCTCTCTCTCTCTCTTTCGTGTGTGCATCGCGAATCCATTGGCCTGACAGTTGGTCGGTTAGAGGGAAGAGGTGAAACACCAACAGGTGTTGACTAGCGGGGAGAAATCGCGGTGCAGACTGATGACGGAGATGATGGTGAGGATGATGCATCTCTTCCCGTGCCTTTTATGAATCGCATCGCGTACTCGTGTGAAGAGACGTAGGGACATCACCACCACCACTCACCAAACCCCCACCCCCCCCTCCCTTTGCTCCTTAACCATCGATTATGGTGGATTTCTCGGTCGCTTTGAAGCGACGGGTCTAGACGGTGGGGAGCCGAGAACCGAGCCGTGACAGGGAGCGCGCATCTCGGCATCGGCCCGCAGCGCTGCGCCATGGCCTTGGACGTCCAGACGTGCGCGGTGTTCACGGTGATCGCGGTGCTGGTGCTTGTGAACGTGCTGTTGATGTTCATCCTCGGTACTCGTTAATGGATCGGCGCTCGGGGCCCGGTTCGTGCAGGAGAGGAGAGAAAAGCGGTGCGCGTTGGTCGAGAGCGGGGACACCCGGCGCTCCATCACGGCTACGCTTTGAAATGAATGACGTTGGTACAACATAATGTATTTCTGTCCCCCCCACCCCCACCACCCACCTCCCCGATCCTTCGTTATGTCTTGTGTCCTCTTCCCCGTTTGTGGTATAGCTAGTGTTGTCCAGTGGTGCTTGTAGTTGTGCCGATCCGGATCTGTGATGCTGCTCTACCCTCTCTGTGCTGAATGGCAACCCATCCTCCGCGTTTATAGCCTTAAATATTGTCCACTCCTTTCACGCCGATCTCCCTCTCCCCCGTGTTGTATATTGTGGCTTATGTCATGGATCAGTTTTAACTTAATAATTGGATATTTGAAGTGAAGATTATTCTGGCGGCGTGTGTTCTTTTTTCCCCCTTCTCTTTAACCACATCCTACTGCTGCGTCAGGAGTTGTTTTTCTTTTGTGATCCACTGTAGCCACATCCACAATATGGCAGCTAATAGCTGTGCAGTGATCTCTCTCTAGTGAAGTCAACGGGATATATTTGTAGCAAATAGCGGGGCAAGCGAGATGTCTGCGCTGATGCTCATAGGCTCTGGGGGACCATTGTGCTCTCAGCTGAACAGTAAGGGAGGACGTGCAGAGGGCTAGGCCTAATAACGGAGGGCCTCCATCACTCCAGGTTTCCCCCATTTTAGATTCAGCCAAACTCAGCTCCCATTTCACAGCCCCCAGTATTCCCATTTTTCCATTTTGCACCTTGTCCACGTTGCACCTGTTTCAACCTCATTATATAAGGGTTGATCAAATATGCGATTAGATATGAATATTTTTTTTCTGGGAAAAAGTCCTCAAAGTGGAAAAGCTTGTCAGATGGAGATACCCCCCCGTGAACAAAAAAACAAAACACCTTTTGCCTTTCCTTACGCTTGCAGTGGCATAGTTTAATAAAGGATCGAGGCAGGTGACATTAATGTTGAATGAATGTCAGAAATAGATATGCTAAAAGCCTGTCCCAGAGCCTTCCATGGCAGACCTATTTTTAGAGAAACCCTTGCCGGGATTGTTTGAAGGCTCTATATGTGCTCTGCAACACTCAGAGCAAAGTGCTGGTGTCCTCTCTGTGTGTGGAGCTAAGTGGTAAAATATGTATCTGCAGAAGAGATGTTTGGCGGCTTCTTATTATGACCACAGATACCTCCATCACATGCCGTGGCATGTGGACTTGGCGTTGTCATTTCTCTGGCACATGGCATAAACATCCTCCCTATACCAGAGACCTTGCTGGACTGTAGACATTAACATATCGTTTTAACGTCCCGGTATCAAGTAGTGTACGAGCGATAGCCCCGAGTGGGTGTTGTGTGTTGTTCCTCTGTGTACTGGAGTCCCTCTCCCCCTCCACACATACATTCACACATCTGTAATTCCTCCAGGGCAGGTACCCTCTGGTTAATGCCGCGCATTTAAAAGTGTCAATGTGCGAATGGTTTATGTGAGTGAGACAACAATTACGTGTGAGGGATGCGCGTGTATTTCTCACCGGTTTCAGGCAGAGCATCTTTGATTGGCTCCCAGTCTGGCTCTATAAGTGTATTACATAACAGCACTGGCAGACACAGGGAGGAGGACGGACTGGGAGACTTGCTCGGTGCGTCGTAAAGAGAAACCTCTTTATGGAATAGCTGCCGTCTCGTTACTTCACAGCTCAGGCTCAGCTCTTGCGGGGAGGACCGTTGCCTCGACAACTTCCGAAACGGATTCAATTATCATGATTGTATGAGCCGGACTTCTCCATGCATACGCTCTCTGAACAGTTACATGCTACAAACATGGTAAGGCTGGTTAAAGGTGTGTGTGTGTGTGTGTGTGTGCGTGTGTTGGTGTGAATGTGTTTGCTCGGGGAATGCTATAGGTGCTTTGGTGCAGCTGTGCTGTGGCTCGAGACAGGAGGATGTCGGAATGCAGTGGATCTGCCAGTGCGGTGAATGCTGATGTGTTGCGCGGCAAAGATGATACGAGCGAGTGAATCAGCTTTCTATTCTTACATATTTTCTGTCACGGGCACCGTGTCTGTGCTCGAACGGGAATCAGAAGGCATTGTCATGTACATCTGTGTTATAGGGGACAGATTCCTCTGCAACCATTTGCATTGACCCAAATACGGCTTTTGCAGTTGAATTAGGGAGTTTTAACCCTGCTGATTTTTTAATGCTGTAACTGCAGTGTAACCATAATGATGACACAGGCCGTTAGAGCTGGTCGACAAGCAGGTACTGATGGATACAGAATGGAGACTCTATGTTTGCATGTGTGGTTGCTTCATGCCGTCCGATCAAGCTAGGTATGGATCCGTGCTGAGGGGGGATTGAGGAAGATTGATTATGTAATGTTTTTTAATTTATTCAGACATGTGGAGGGGAACTGGGATGCAATATGTTGGAGAGGGCAGTACTGATCTCATTTGGGAGATGGAGAGATGAGGCAAAGGAGAGAACAGAGAGAGGGAAGAACATTTAGCCGTGGATGGCTCTCCATCGGGCTTTCCTCTGCTCCTTCTGCACGTTGTCGGTCTGATGGGGAACAGAGACGCTGTGCTTACAGTGAGTGGGGTTGACAGTGGAGCAGTGCTGGAGGGGAGCTGGTAGCTGGAAGGGCAAGAAGCAAACCTGACCTCCGTTTCAAGTGGTAATCTGTTCTATGGGCTGTTGCGTGGTGCTGTTTCAGACTGAGCTCCTTGTTTTGGAGGATGGCGGTCAAGTTGAACTGATTTAGCTTTCCCTTCTTTGTCCTGCTTGTTTTTTTTTAGTGCCTATTTGTATGAAAAATGGGTTTGAATGCAATTTGTTTCCCTGGATAAACTGTGATTTAAAAAAAAAAATTAGCTCTATTGATTGGTCTTGTTTCCATGGCAGCGTGACACATGCTTTTGCAGTTATCCTCCTCTTCTCCTCTATTGGAGAGCTTTTCAAACATAAGCTACAGCCGCTGTTACCCCCAGCCCTCAGTCCAAAATGACACCTCTCTCCAAAATGACAGCGGTCACTCTTTGTGCGCAGCCGCTCACACACTCCCAAATTTGGAAAATATTCTGGTGCATCCTCAAGTGTCCTTGCCTCATCCCATCATCTTGTCAATACCAGTGAAGCATCCTCATCTGTCACCATGACGACGGCTGTTCTATGCCTTCCGGGCACGGACGTCCCTCCTTGTGTTCGCTCCTCTGGCCTGATTGGCTCGCGCTCCCAGTAGCTGTCTCAGGGAGCCATGGGGGAAGTGGGCTTGTGTACAGGTTGAAGGGGGCCAGCGTAAGCTGCCGAGTCTGAGAGCTTCGGTCCTCATGGGGACCAGCAAACACTCACACAGTCTGCCGTTTCTCATGAAAACTGCATAAGAGGGAAGGTACCAAAGAAAAATAAAGCGCATCGAAAGGGGTTTCGTCGTGAAAAAAAATCATAACGATAGGAGGGGAATACACATTGTGCTTGGAAATGCAAAAAAGGGCCCAGGTCAAGTCAATTTCTCATCTATCTGTGTGGCATCCCTGTCTCCAGGCCCTTTGATAACTACTTACCTGGAGCGTAAGCGTCACCTGTCAGGCTCGGTTAGCCCCGCTGCTCTGCCCACAGCCCCAGGGAGAGGATGCATGGTTAGCTCTGGACTGCAGAATGCTGATGAACACTGCTGTGGAGGGAACGGCTTAAATGAACAGTTGGACGTTTGCCACGCCTGCACACGAGGGGTCACCGCACACTCCGCGTTTTGCATATCTGTTGGGGTGTGTGTGGGCGTCAAGGCGGTAACACTAAGTCGTCGGTGTGATGGATGGTGAAGCCGTGGATGGATGATGTCAGACTCGGGTGTCTCTCAAGAACGTTGTCAGCGCTCTCTCATCCTTTAATGAGAACAACCTTTAGCCTCACCAGATCCCCTGAAGAATACTCATCTTCCCGCTGGCTCCGGTGCCCTTACTATACCCAGTTTCGGTGCGTCGCATAGTACTCCGCCGTCCTGCGTGTGTGTGTACACAGCTTTGCAGCGTAACTGTTTATTTTTCCATGTTGCCTGATGTCCACATTACTTATTTATTATTTTGGAATCAATGGACAAAATCTGATGAGTCATCCCTCCTTGTTTTTCGTTTTTTTGTGCTGAAAATAAAACAAGCGTCGGTACGAGGCTAAGGAGGGAAGATTATCCCATCACATCTGCTTGCCCGGCATTTATATTACATTTACACATGTAATTCTTATAATGTTATAATGAGCCAATTACATCCCGGTGTGGTGTCTCTAATGGCGGCGTTGTTTCTCCTCTGATTGCTCTGTCTTTTCTTTTTTTTTTGTGTCAGGGCATTTGTGTTTGTGGTACTGGGGCCAGTATTGGCTATTGTGTTGCTTCATTTGCAAACCCCGTGTTGCAACCGGGCCCTAGCTGTGAGATTTGCGTGCATCAGTAATCCGAGTGTGTTCAGCAACAAGGATTCGTACAAAGGGCGCTAGCATATTTTTCTGCGTTGTTTCTAATCAAGCCAATCTGTCTCTTATTGATAAGCATCTGCACAACTTCACCTCACTCCTGTCTCAGTGTTGCTTCCACAGTGGTGGCTTTGTGCATTTTATTTAAAGCATGAGGAATGCGCTGTCTCTCCCCTACATTTTGTTCATTATTTGTCTGTTTTGTTTTTTTAGTTGATAAGTGGAGGTTCAATCGTCAACGCTGAGGCGGTATGGGACCATGTGACCATGGCGGATCGGGAGTTGGCATTTAAGGCCGGTGACGTCATCAAGGTGCTGGACGCCTCCAACAAGGACTGGTGGTGGGGCCAGATTGACGAGGAAGAAGGATGGTTCCCTGCCAGCTTTGTTCGGGTGAGTTTGGAGCAGCTAAGGCTGGCCGGTGCTCAAAGGCACTACACACACACACACACACACCCTTAGAAAAAAACACAAAAATGGTGGCCCACGAGCACACACGCTGCTGTAAATGCATCCACCATGGCAGTGTCGCACACACAAACATACATCCTCATTTTAATGATACATAGGACCCAAGAGAGCAGAGAACAGTTAGCTAAGCGCCTTCGTTGGGCTTTCAGGGACGATGAAACAAAGATGCTAATGACTCCCCCGCCCGTTTCAGTTTGGCATCACCTTCAACTCCTGCCCCTGGTGAAATTAAATTTACAGCAGTTTCATATTACATTGTGATTACATTATATCTCCCTCTTAGTTCTGCTAACGCAAAGCCGTATTAACATGCAAGTCTGGTGCCGCATGCACTTCTTTTCTCCTTTTTTTTTCCTTTCTCAGTTGGATATTGAGTCCCGACTGTACAGAATGTCAGATTCAGATTTTGAAACCAGAGTGAGTGTGTGTGCTTTCTTGTCCTTTAACTGATCCGCTGAAAGAGGAAAGTCTTTCTAAACTAAAAAAAAGTCACATTTAAAGACAGATTTGCAATTATGATTTAGGGTGGAAGTAAATCCTAGTCCATTTGGATAATTGCCACACGGTAACATGAATCCAGTAATAAAGAGTTTAAAAATATTTGCAAATCCTTCGTTGTGGAAGGAGGCAGAGACATCATTTTAGGGATTAGTATGCACCTAATTTGGTATTTTTATGTAAATAATGTATCAGACAAATTATTATTCGAAGCAGCTTACTTCTTATGTCTTTGAACATGCCTGGAGGGACTCTTTTACGCAACAGGGGAAGAGTTAGCATTCCTGGTGTAGCTGGAGACCTCCCACTGTAGAAACGCCTCCTCCAGACACTTCCCATGGCCATTCCCACCTGTCCACCCTTCCATATTCACTCCTGAGAGGCCAGGGCAGACAGGCTGACTGACTGTCAACCAAAAAGTATCTTTCTGTTCTGTCATTCTCTCTCTCCAAGGTGGAACCCCACCCTCCTCAGCCCCAAACAAAACAGGTTTTCTATATCAACCCCATAGCAACTCCACGGTTCCAAAACACCACGTCAAAGGTGCGTTCTCCCAGCTTCATCTACCCATCCAGCCTGCCCCCGCTCACCCACCCGCTCCAGTCTGTCCACGCAACGTACCCTCGACATCAACCCAAACATTAATGTGCCCATGACGTGATCACATCATTCCTCCAAGGGGTCGATAGAGAGGCAGAACTGATGAGTCAAAAGTAAAGATGACGAGAAAAAGCCCACTTAATGGCCAAAAGTGAAATCATTGGTCTTCGCATTTGGACTGATCATTCCTGTTAACAACGATGGTTACTTATCTTTTTTTCCTCAGTACGGCATTTACTATTGACTCTGAGTATTTTCTCAGTCGTAACGCTGCGCTACCAGTTCTCGTCTGCAGTCAGTGCTCTACCACCTGTCACTCTGCTTGTCTGTGGCGCTACATTTCCCATCTTGTGTTTGGCATTCTACCCGTCGGTTCTTTGATGTTCTCTTGGCAAACTGTGTGTCATCAGGTGTTGGCTGCTGGGCGTCTGAAACCACGCTCACTTGGCCCTTTCTTTCAGGGAGAGTGGAACGAGCCTGTGCGTGCGTGTGTGTGTGTGTGTGTGTGTGGATGCGTGTGGTGTCAGTGTGTGTTGCTGAGTGCACGCCGGAGGTGAGGCGAGCTGTGCTTTTGCGTGCTGTGGGACGTTTTGTGAGTCACGCACAAGGCCGGAGCTGGGCATTGAATATCCTCAGTTTCAGCGAAAGGCTTTTTATACTCTCGAGTGTGTTTAGCAGTTTGGCCCTTTCCGTTTTTTCTTTTTTCTTTTTTTTTTTCTGGAGTCTTAGTCATCTGCCAAACTATCAGAGACTCTTTAAATGATGCTCTATGTGTGAGAGATGACTTCACGTATTTGGTGTGTGTTCTCCCTTTTAGGCGAGTGGGTTTGCAAGAGATCTTTTGCAAGTCTAATTTTAAAAGGAAAAATAAACTACCTATACGTTATCTTAAACTTTCCCTAAGTGAGCACATCTCTTATCATTTGTGTGTTGCTCTTTTTGGATATATTTGTCCTCAGCTGTGGGTGAACCAGGAGGACGGTGGAGCGGAGCCGGCCGAGGGGACCAGCGAGGTGCAAAATGGGCACCTGGATCCGACCAATGACTGCCTGTGTCTGGGCTCCCCCCTCCAAAACCGAGACCAGATGAGGGCCAACGTCATCAATGAGATCATGAGCACAGAGAGACACTACATTAAACACCTCAAGGACATCTGTGAGGTAGTAAACATGCGCACAAACGCACATATTACTGAGTGGCTGTGCCTAGCAGCGGGACCGGTCGTGCATTGTAAGAGGGGAAATTAACTTAAACAAAAAAAAGCATGTTTGTAAGAGTTTGTAACACTCCCACATACACGCTTTTATCACGAGCATATTCTATTATCTCTGGAAAAGTTAAACAGTAGAAAGGCCGAAGCACAATGCACTAACTCTGAGCAGCCATTGTTAAATTTGTCATGCGAAAGTCTCATTAGATGACAGATGATTCACACACAATAGACAAAGCAAAGCTTTGGCAATTGTTAGGCATGTTTTCTTTTACACAACCCTATTAAAAAACTTTTTTTTGCAAAGTCGAAATTTCCCTCTAGTTTAAATTCTTTAAATCACCTTAACAGCAAGTGCTTCGTTCAAATAAATGCAAATGAATTTCTTGAATATTTCCAGCAAAGGGAACATTACTTTTTTAAGAAAGTGGGTATTTGAAATAATTGCAGATTTATGTAACAGAGTAAACATATGGATGTGGTTTGTTCTGTCATGTATTGAATAAATATGTCTTGGTAATCAGTTATGTTATTCACACCGAGGCATTTAATGTATGCAAATAATTTACATAAAGTAAATGAAAATCAAGAAGTCAACAGGAAGCTTTGCCACACGATATCAAGAGTAAACAGAAACAAATACCCGTTGGATGACAGTTTTTCTGCCATAGAAACATAGAAAAACACACAAAAAACACAAGGAATTTCAGGTTAGATTGTCTAAAGTGCATTGCGGTCACATCATAACACAGCCCCCCCCCCTCCAAAAAAAAAGAAAAATAAACTTTACCAGTTTTGACTTTGGACGACTGCTAGAGCTAGTTTCTGCTTATCTAATCATGTTTGCTTAAATCCTCTGTATGCCCTTTGTTTATTCTGTGGATGGAGCGTAATGTTTGAAAAATAGTTGCAATAGAGCAGAAGTTTCACATCCCCACCTTCACACATCTTTCATCCTGCATTCTTTGAGTTTGTTTTAACATGCACAGGCAAGAGATGCAGAGAGGCTCAGGACTCTCTGAGCTTCAAGGCACACATGAGACACCAGTCGGAGGCAGATATAGTGTCCTATATCACAGCCATTTTCAAACAGTGTCTGTCCCATAGTTTTTCAGCAAAACCCCTCAAACAATCTAGAATGAGGAACAATTGATGAATACCTGATGGAGAAATGTGAATCCACTGTATTATTTATTTAAATTAACTTGACGTTTAATTATGATCTAAAACCTTACATTTAACCATGGTAAAGCAGCCATGTCGCAGGTTTTCTTCAAATGGTCCTAAGGTTTTGCGTCCTATGCCGTTTCAGGGCTACTTACGCCAGTGCAGGAAGCGTGTGGACATGTTCAATGACGACCAGCTGAAGGTGATTTTTGGGAACATCGAGGACATCTACCGTTTCCAGATGGGTTTTGTCAGAGATCTGGAGAAACAGTACAACACCGAGGAGCCCCACCTCTCTGAAATCGGGCCATGCTTTCTAGAACACGTGAGCACTTTTTTTAATCATTGCGTTTTCTTTGTCCTCTTCTTTTTCTTCTGTGCACGATGTAAAGAAGTGAGATTTTTTTGTGCAAATAAACTGTGTCCAGCCAAGGGCAAGCCATGACAACTGTTAATTTGTTGGCTCTGTAATCTCACGATCGGAGCAAAATTTTCTTAGTATCTTGAGATAACGTTGAAGCTACTGAGATAATGAAGTGAGGAACAAACCATTCAAGATACCTATTTAAGATTATGTCATGATCTTGAAGAAAACATTGTAAAAATTCTAGCATTTCTGCCATAAATCAACAGCAGTCAAGTGCTCAGTGTTTCATTGAAGAAGTTGTTCTTTGTCCTCTCTGATCTCACGTCTCTCTCTTTTCCACCACAGCAAGATGGTTTCTGGATCTATTCAGAATACTGTAACAACCACTTGGATGCCTGCATGGAGCTGAGCAAACTGATGAGGGATGGCAGGTACCAGCACTTCTTCGAGGCGTGTCGCCTCCTCCAGCAAATGATTGACATTGCCATAGATGGCTTCTTGCTCACCCCTGTCCAGAAAATCTGCAAATACCCCCTCCAGTTGGCCGAGCTCCTTAAATATACCGCGCAGGAGCACAGGTAACTGTCCGCTAACAAGATTTCCTTTCGTCTCATTCATTTGACGCTGTTTTGTTGTGGATTGTTATGTTGAAGAGGAAGACGTCATCGATGCATTGTTGTGTTCCAGATGCATTGTGTTGCAATGCAGCTGTTGGGTTTATCCTTCTGCAGCAGCAATTATGCACGCATGAACAGAAACAAATGTCGGTTTGCATTGTTTTAACAGCTTGCTCGTGTCTTGAAGGAAAACATTTCAATTAGGGAATAGCAGTCACGAGGAAAAAGATGTGCTGCAGCACTGCAATTCGTCAGCAATCCATACCGTTTTTCAAAGGACACGATTCCTCTGAGCTCTGTACATAAATAGATTACTGATCAAATATAAAACGGGGCTGCCTCTGGAGCATACTTTATGCAAGATTCCACATTTTCTACAAACTGCAAGCGCAGCGTGGAAGCCAAGTGCACAATACAGACGTTTGCAGATGAGCCCCTCGAACTCAGAAGTGCATATGTGAGCATCCAGATGTGCAAACTCATGTGCGCGAGCCCGCGGAAAGATGGTGCGAGTGATTCAGCGGGCCTCAGCCAGCTCCAGGTCATTCACAAACCCAGCCATCTCTGCCAGAGAGGGACCGGAGCCAGCTCTGCCAGTGAGGCCTGCCAGATCACAGTGTTTGTCTGTTAGGGAGCCGGTGAGAATCTGCCAGATATAGGCCTGCCTCTGTCACTCTTGTGCACACAACACTGTCGCACGCACCGACACATCCTCCAAAGTGAGACTGGGATCCGTAGCACATCTAAGCCGGAGGGATAAACGCAGCTCAGTTCGCACAGACACCACCAGAGTTAACCGCGAGCAGAGAGACGGGCTGATTAAAACGAAGTCACAGTGTGTTATTTCGAACGTGCCCAGCCGGATATGCTGCTGTTACTTCTGTTCATAACCACTGCCTCTGATGGGGCACTCTATATATCACACAGCAACGACGCATGTGTAACTTGAAGGGTTGCAGCCTTTTCCCCTAGACGCCGCGGAGTAATTACATGTACATTGTGCCCATAGTGACTATCGATATGTGGCAGCTGCCCTGGCCGTGATGCGGAATGTCACTCAACAGATCAATGAGCGGAAGAGGAGACTGGAGAACATTGACAAAATTGCCCAGTGGCAGGCTTCTGTTCTTGACTGGGAGGTACGTGCTCATGACTCTCAGTTAATCCTCCCCAGTGATTTCTTCTTGCGTTGGTAAATTTAACAAATATTTCAGTTTTCTTGATTTCAACTCAAAGCAGATGTACATATGACCGCACATTAAGGCCATCGCTGCATTTTCAACAGTTGAAGCAAGAAGAGCAGTACCGGAAACAAAATCATCAAATCTGCTTTAAGATTAAGAACGTTCATTCTGCTTGAAAAAAGTCTGTCTCTCTAAGAGCATATGTGAGATGATACCTAATATGGATACTTGTAATTTCAGCCTAGAATAAGCATATTATCATAAGCGGTAGGCATGAACAGACATCGCGCTGACTTGTGGGTATTAAGAATTACACAGAATGCTGATTTGGATCAGGGTGATTAGTGTGTTTTCTCCTCTTGAAGTGCAGCACAGTGGACCGATGCCATTTTTTTTCCCCTCGCAAATTTGTGTGCATAATAATATTGGCAATCGTAATGCGCTTTTTTTCCCTTGGAGATTAATGACAGAAGTCAGATTTCTTATTTACTCACAATGGCCTTAATATGATATCTTAGATGTATCCCAGAAAAGACTCATCAGGGCTATATTATGATGTGCCACAAAACAGCATTACATAACTCTACTCAGACTAGAGGGACTAGATACGAAGAGTAAAGTGACTAACTGCTCAAAGTCCAAGTGTCCTTTTAATTGGCTAAGTCTGTCTGTGTTTACGTATAGGGGGATGATATCTTAGACAGGAGCTCGGAGCTTATCTACACTGGGGAGTTGTCATGGATCTATCAACCGTATGGACGCAGCCAGCAGCGAGTCTTCTTTCTCTTTGATCACCAGCTGGTACTCTGTAAGAAGGTAAGCTCTTTCTGTCTTCCTTTGTTTCGCTTTCTCCCTTCTATTCCAAGACTTTGTCCAATCACAACGTGTTAGTAGCTCCATGACATCCTTAGCTTAGCTTAGTTTACTGAAAGTCGTCATATCACATGGCTGGTTACAGTGATGCCTGAAGACAATGTGACCTTATACAACACTTGTGAGGAGCAGAAAATACATTACATAATGCTGTGTGAGACACACCAGTCCTCTGTGACGAAGCATTCAAATCCTCAGCGCCTTCCACAAAATGGAGCTGCGGTAGTTTGGGCTCTAATGCACCGAGGCTGTACTCTCTGCTGTCAGAGGGCTGTTCACGCTTGGCCAGACTCGGTACACGCACACAGCTCCAGACGCAAATGCAGACAGACACCGAGACCCAAACAAGAACAGAGGCCGTATAAAAGCATCATCACAGGCGCATTAACACGCAGAGGAACAAGTTTTTCATCGGTGCAAAGACCAACACGGAGCAAAAGTAGCAAAGACGCATCGTCGGGCTGTCTGTCTGTTTGCACCGGGCTTCAGCTCTTACGGCTGAACATCTCTGGGACCACAGCCGTACCCCTGGGGGTCAACCGCTTAGAGTCAGCACCAAGATGCTCTAAATGATCAACTCCAGACTTTGTTTTCAATGGTGTATACCTAGTATCCTCTGTGCAACATTCATAAGGGTTCCTACCAGCCCTCCGGGCGTATTGCGGTTGGAGCTCGCTGCCAGAAGTCCTCTGTCTTTTCTTTTCATCCACTCCTTATCAGCAGATCCACACTTATCTCGTCATGCTGATTCAAAGATGCCTTTCTATCTTTTTACCTTCCATTCAGGGTTAAAGGGAGGATTGTTTGGCTCTCTTCATCTCGCAGATGATAAAGTTACAGTTGAGGGAGCTTTGTGTTTAATGTGCATGCTATAACCAGCGTGCTCTGTAGTCCTGAAGCAGCTATAAAGTGATCACAGTGCTATTTTTAGTTTGTCACAGAAAATGCTAAGTGTTAAGGTACCTGTGCACTTCGTGTCTTAAAGCAGCTGGCAGTGTTGGAAGATACATTGCAGCACCAACATCCTCTTAATCAGAGAACATTTACATTAATCAGTGAAGGAAACAACCATCTGATTTGTTTTAAAGAGAGAACATAACCAGAGTTGTTATCCAGATATTTTGATTGTAATAACCATCACATTACCATCCGTGTCAGCTCAATGCTGACACGCATACAATAGTTTCTCAACATTTTCTACTTGCATTAACAGTTACCGATCCAGAAATGATTTAGCTACGGACTTAAAAGTACAACTTTAAGTTTAGAAAACGTGGCATTGTCACAGCAAGAGGGATCCAGGTTTGAGTCCCCAGGGGACCGAGACCTTTTCTTTGTGGAGTTTGCATGTTCTTCACACAGAACATACATGTTAGGGTAATGGCCCCTAGCAGTGACTGTGTATGGTTGTCTGTCTCTGCGTGGCCTTGCGATGGACTGTACCCCACCTCTTGCCCGTTGGCAGTTTCCAGCCCCCCTTTCTGTTGGGAATAAGTGGTATAGAAAATGGACGGATGCACATTGTCACATGCAGCATCGTTTGACTTGCATTGGCATTTCTCATTTCTCAAGTTTTCTACTCAATTATCTAATTCTGCATCATGAGCTATGAGTACATGGAGACCATCACAAAGCATCATTGCCGTCTCGTGTTTTGAGCGTAAGGCAGACAGGACTTTGCTTGACAGGCCTTGACGGATATCATGGGTGAAATGCTTGTAGACACCTAAAGTTCAACAGGCATTTCCTCTCATCTTCACCAGGATCTGATACGCCGGGACATTCTGTACTATAAGGGCCGCATCGACATGGACCGCTACGAGGTCCGGGACGCCATAGACGGGCGCGACGACGACTTCAACGTCAGCGTGAAGAACGCTTTCAAGCTGTGCAGCAAAGACAGCGAGGAGATCCACATCTTCCTGGCCAAGAAGCCAGAGGAGAAGATCCGCTGGCTCAGGGCCTTCCACGAGGAGAGGAAGATGGTGCAGGAGGATGAAAAAATCGGTAAGTCCTCAGAAAAGGAGATCCCCAATCTAGCTGTAGCTTTAAGCGGATGTACGATTAATAGATAGGTTTGTGTTAAAGGACTCAGACTTTCGGCCGCTCTGTGACTTTATCTGGAAAAAACAAAACCTCAATTATGCCCCAGCTGTTTTTCAGCCTCAATAGACAGGATCCTGTCATTTATGACCTCGGAACCAACACGCTATGTTACTGTTGTTTAGGTTTTGAGATCTCTGAGTACCAGAAGCGACAGGCAGCCATGACAGTGAGAAAGGTGACCAAACAGAAAGGTGAGGCAACAAGAAGATATCAGGTGATTCCCCTCTTTTGTTTTTTTTCCTCGCTGGTCTGCTCTGTCTTCTCATCGCTGTTTACTCTTCCCCCTAACCTGTTGTCTTTTTTTATTTATTTTTTTACTTTTCATACCTTTTTTTTAACATGAACCTTGTTTATAAACGGACCTAGACCTATCTTGTACCAAGTAAGCCAGAAGAGCGGAGAGGTTTTTATGTCTACTCGCTTTATTCTGTCCAACATTCTTCTCTGAGTTAATTATCTGTCAGCCCTTACATGAGAATGACTTGATTTGAGCTGTAAAGCCGCTGTTAAGCATCAATGAAAAGACAGAGGGCTGTTTGCATGAAGTATTGAGCTTAAAGGAAGATACCTGCGCTCAGAATATGTGGGCTCTGTGTCACGCTTGTCTGCAAACTACTTGTTCCTTCAGAGAGTTTGAATTTCTTTCTTTTGTTGAGTTATAGTGGTTTCTGGGGTTTTCATCCACCATCAGATTGTCAAGTAAATTGTCGACTTGTGGCTTATAAAAACCTTATTAGTTTTATTTCAGTGATTGTCATTAATTGTCAACAGGCATGTAAAAAGCTGTGTTATGTAGTCTCCAATAGTAACAGAATATGGACAACTAAAAATTAATGTTTTTCCTAGAAATGTAGATATTAGCGTGGCATACATATGTTAATAAGTCTTTGACTCTAGGCTGGTTTCCATTGTCATTCATTATTTGCATTTAGATAAAGGAAGGAAAGAAGTTTTACGCATTTTTTTACACAATCTTTTAATATGATTGATTATTCACATTAAGTGGAACAAAACCCACTTTTCAGAATATTTTCCTTTTTTTAAATCAAAATAAAAGAACTCACTTCTGTGTTTTTATTCCTAAACTCTACAATATCATAGTTATTTCCAGAAATGTAAGAAGACCCTGAAAAAAAGCTTATTCCGTCTATGGTGGATGTCCACCACAGTATTTGTTGCCTTTTTTTCTTGACATTCACAACTATGTGAATGAACTATGTGAAAGATAAAAAAACAGGTTGTGACAGGGTGACCCTTACAGACATCTGCCAACTAGCTCAGTAACAGAAGAACGCATCAAACTAGATTTTCAAGATACCATCTCCAGAAAAGACAGAGGACCCACATATTCGCCTTGCTGCTATCATCCTTTAAAATTTAGCCATTTTACTGCTAGGCTAGATGTTTGTACATTTACCATTACTGATGTTCTTGCCAGTTTCATGATAAGCATGACCATCCATTAAGGTATTAATGAACTAATGACCACTGCTGGAATGTTCTCTCTGATGTTAGGAACCCTGTAGATGTCTGTCAGAAGTAAATGTTGTCTGTTTCTAAGTGCTGTATGTGTACATGGCTGGCACAAGGTGAAGTACTCTCTTGAATTTCAGATTCATTTATAGATTTCATCTTGAGAAAGAGGGCCATGTTGTATGGACATGGTTTGAAAATGATAAAGGTATATGCATTAGAGTTCTCCATAGAGCTAGCACAATAAGATGCCATGGCAACTGCTAAGCAGCATTGGGAGGTGTTGTGTTTAACGTTGGCATTGGAGCATGCAGTCACTGTCCAATCTGTTTACAAGCATTATCTTGACTCTCCAAGATAAACAGGCTTTACTAACCCAAGTAGATCAAACCCCTTCTAACTTCTGAAACAGTGTTTGGCAAAGTCTCTAACAGAAGACACTGTTTCCCATCTTTTTATTTCAGTTTTTTAAGATGCCATGGCAACTTTTGAATATTTCATCTCCAAATACTGTTACTTAGCTATGAATTACAGTAGCATAGTTGTGATGCTTGTAGACTGTAGCTAAATGACATGGTAGACCGTAGTCAAACGCATATTAGCAGCTTTCTGTTGGCTCTACTTCCGCCACTCTTGAGTTCTCAAGTGTCAAGGGTGCTATTCAAACAAATGAGCTGTTCGCAAACATGGAGGAACAGCGTCCCGTGTCCAAATGCCTGGTTTCATCATTGTATCAGGGGTAGTAACCCATCAGTTCTCTTGTTTGCCCGCGACAGAGTTTGATTGAATAGCATCTGCAGTCTCCCTTGTGTCATTGCAAGAGCTGAATTCCACGTTATCTTAATTCAGCGTTCATCGTATGATCGTCGTGTGTCATATCTCAGGATAAATGTGCAGGAATGTTAACTCAAAGCTCATTCTGTCCGTTTACATGCTTGTTTTTCTGTGGGAGCATGACTTGGTGTTGTGTTGTTTTGCTGTGTTGTTGTTTCATATACAATACTGACAATGTTTCCTCTTTGCTGCCCACCTCCCCCTTCTTTTTTTCTCTTTTGCTTTGTGCCCCGCACCGCCTCCTTGTACCCCTTCCCCTCGCAACCCCCCCCTCCCCCTCCCCCTGCTCTTTTTGCGCCTGCCTTCCCAGGTGTAAACAGGTGCACGCCCCCCTCATACCCGCCCCCGCAGGATCCCCTCAGTGCGGGGCAGTATGAGGTAACGGAGGACATGGCACAAGGAGAGGTTTTTGAATTCAGTCAATCCAAAAGAGGCCAGGCTCCTTTCTGGCAGAATTTTAGTAGATTAGCTCCATTTAAGAAATAGAGAACCACAGACTCTTCTGAAGGACCAGCTATTTTTCTTAGAAGCACTAAACACTGGATAAATATGTCCCATGATGAAGAAAATAAGAAAAACACACATACACAAGAGACTTTGAAGTTAAGGACCAATGTTATTATAGCGTTTGATTGGAAGCACCGATAGGACTGAAGACTTGGATTTAAAGAGAAAATAATTGAGAGAAAAAATCCAACTTTACAACACATATATGTTAGTAACATTCTTAGTTATCATGCTTCTCCGGCTGACTCAACTGTCACGAACTCTTTCCCTTGGATTCTGCACATTCACGCCATCTGAATGTTCTGGAGCTATTCAGATTGTTATATGATTTCATTTTTAATCCATCATCTGGAAAGGAACACGAGGCCGGGCCGGGTCATGTGTGATTGTGTCCAAAAGCTGAGATCATGCCGTGCTGCTATGTGCGATTGTTCGTTGCATTCTTCTGAATGTGAGACGGGGAGATGTCGACCTCGGCCGCGGGATGTGTCGCGCGTAGGACAACTCCCAGCTCGACCGCCGGCGTCACGTCTGAGTTCGATCGCCCCCGCCACTGATCACAGACTCATATGTGCTCTACTGATGTCTGCATCTGGATCTCCTCCCTCTCCCCTTGCAGTCTGTACAGAATAAACTATCTTTCTTTTTTCCCTTTCTGTTTTTTTTTTTCTAACTAAACCTGGTGTTCAGTCTTCCCTTCCTTCTCTGAATCCCTCCCGTCCTCTCTATCTCTCTGCCCCACCTTCCCGGCTTCTGTGAGTCCGTGCCTCTCGGAAGGGGAGAATTCCGCTCCTTTTGGAATCCTGCCATCGGCCATGATATGATGGGTCAGGGAACAAATCATTACTCGGAACATCAGTAAGAATATTTTACATCCGCTCGCGACAGGGTACACGCCGAGGCTCAGTGCGTCTCCTTTGACGGAGAGCTTTCTGCCGCTCAGATGAAACAGCTGGGAGCAGGAGATAGGCAGGTTATGGTCCACCTGCCTGGCGTCACATCCCCCCCCCCCCCCCAAACCCCCTTCCCTCTCCCCCGATCTCCTCAGAGACCACCCCTGTAGCACTGTGCTGGCAGCTCACTGGGTGTTTGGAAAGAGCACAGCCTACCTCCGGGAATGAGCAGTAAAAGTCAAGTTGATGCATCGGCCAAGGTCTAAAATCAGACTCTCTTATTTTCTTTCTTTTTTCTTTTTTTTTAAACATCTGCTGTAAAAAGGAAAATAATTGCTCAGTTAATTTAATGATTTTGTAGTGTACTCACACAGTCGATTCAGTCCAAGCATAGATGGGGGGGTTTTTTCTCTCTCATCCGAGTGAAAGTGACACAAATATGCAACGCTACAGTGTGATAAGTTAGTGTAGGCCCCAGCACCAGAGGTGAAAAATAGCGGGGGGGGGTATTAACAAAAAAAAGAGCACAGCAGCAGGGACCAGAAACCAGGAGCTTGTGGGTAGGAAGGAGAGTTTTACTCTGTAGCATGCAGGTGTCTTCTGATGGATTGATGCATTTCTAAAGACTGCAGCTTCAAATCTTGGCTGGCCGCCCCGTCACGATGTTTCCCCCAATCTGATCCCTGTTCTGGTGGTTAGCTCTGGCGCTGTTAAGTGGTTTACAAAGGACTGTGGCTTGATCAGATTGATTTGTTTCATCAACAACCCCCCCATCCCCCCCAAAAAAAGGCTTCTGTGTGAGAGATCCTGCCGTAGAGTCCGTTTACTGAGGCGTTAGATAAGAGAGGATCTGAGGGACTGAGAGGAAACTACCCATTTACACACATCATGAAGGGGTGTATTGTTTTCTACTCTTGGAATGTAAGTTAAACACCTGTCCGTGGCTTGTGACTATATTTTGACCTCATAAGTACCTTTTGTGTTGAGTTATATCACCTGATGGACAGTGCATACACCGTATGAAACCTTGTGCAATGTGATATATCATATATCCTCACTACTCACAACAAACGTGATATGAAAGAGTTTTATATTGTTCTGTCATTTGTTTGCCTTCTTATAGGCCTTATAACCTTTTGGAGATTTTAAGAAAAAGACAGTAGAATCGTTTTGTATGTTGTGTAATTTTTTGTTTTTGTTTTGTTACAGTAAAGAAAGTTGAGAAATGGGTGAGTTGGTTGCTGGTGTCTGTAGAGATGGCTCCCAGTGGGATTGTTTTGGAAGATGAATCTCTTGCCTGGCACAGCAAAAAGATATGGTTCCCAGGCCATGATAACCTCAGGTCCCATGCTACACCCACCCTCATACCCAACTCCCCGCCCCCCCAACTCTACACTACCACCAGTACCGACGTACAGACACAAGCATGCAGGCAAACACACTCACACACACACACACAGACGCACAATCGCGCGCACTCACTGGCCCGTTCTGCTGCGGAGAAGAGAGATGCTATCTAACAGTGCCTTCCAGCATTCCACTAGTGATTATCTATTCAGTTTCACAGGCAGATTTGAATTAGTCATGTATTTTCCCTTCAGTGCATTTCTTCCTTTCTCTCTCGCTCTCACACACGCTGGGAATTCCTCGTTCGCCAGTGCACGAGATCCACTCGAACAGAAACTTCGAGGTCAGGCCTTTTTCCACACGAGTAGATGCTTTGTTTGTCCGACGGAAACACTTTAAAAACACCTTATTATATCTTATCACGTTAACTTAGCATCAATTTAATTGCACAAAAAGTAGCTAAAATCTAATTTCAGATGTTTAGAGGTTACATAGTAATCATTTATTGTTATCTATTTATCTTGCTGAATGACGGTTTAATTTGAATATATGGTAGGAAGCAGATTTCCGTTAGTCAAGTTAAGTCTCACGTTTCAAAGTATATTATTAATAGTGAGTTATGGATGACAGAAGTAATCTATTTACCTTTATCAGCTACCCTCTGTAAATACTGTAAAAAGAACAGATCATATATTTGGATATTGGTATTTTGCGTTGGAGACGAATGTTGTTCCAGTCCTAGCGTGCGGTAGACCTCAGTACCAGGTAAATGCATGCTTGTGGCATCCAATATTTTGCATGAGACCTAAGGCTACTCTTAACAGATCGTTTAGTTTCGTTTAACTTTAAAACCGATTTTGTTTCGTTTCCTCTAAAAAAAATATGGAACCACACATTTGTGACCCCATACCATCACTCACTAAAGGCCGCTCTTTTCTCTGTCCTCCTGTCTCCTGCTCACCTCGTTCCACAGGTAGTAGCCTTATTTTCTTTTTATCATCAGCCAGAGCGGAACAGTAGCGCCTCATCCAGAATGAGAAACTGAACTGCTGATAGGTGTAATGATGTTCTCTTTGCCCAAATGAAACAGTTATTAGAACGTGCAACATTCTTTGAAAACTTCTTTCCTGTAAGTGTTTTTGTTTGTTTCTTTTCAGTTTCATGCTCCAGACTGCTGTTTCTTTTTGTTGTTTTTTTTTGTTTTGTTTTTTGGAATCATCAGCGGAGGCAAAACGGGTATAATTTTTCTATGACAAAAGTGAACCAAATAGGAGTTAGCGCTGATCATGGATGTGGGTGTGTATACATTTGTAGTCAAGCAGAAGAGCTGAATACATTGGAAACATCTCTGGATGAGCTAAAAATAAAGAAGACGCACACAGACACAGTACTTCATTGTTATTCATATCATGCTCTCGTTTAAGAAATGAAGTACAATGACTTGACTTTACACATTTTCTCTCTTCTATTTATTGACAACAGTATCAAGTCGTAGCTTTCGGGCCAAACTGTTTAAAGGATGTATATATTGGTTTTTATTTTCTCTTATATAATCAATCTGACCTTGTACCGAGAGCTGAGAGGGCAGCTTCTGTGCAGTTGGACGTCGTATTATTTTTCTGTCTCTCTGGTCATATAAGCAAGACAGCCAAGTTAGTAAACTGTCATCTGAATGCATTAGAGGATGCTCAGAATTATATAATTCCTTTTTTAGTCCAGGGTGCACATGAGCAAGTCACTGCTTTCCCTTACATTTAGTATTGCAGCATCTTCAGTAGAAGCTCTTTGCAGTTGGTAATCCAGCCCTGTGATGTTTTACTCGTCAGGGTGCAGGTCTTCAATGAGCCATATGTTAATGTGGTGCTCAGTGACAACAAGAAGGCCGAAATCCCACATTTGGAACTTATTCATTGTATATTACCATCTAGTTTGAGGTCTGGATGTTTTTTTTTCCTGTTAGAAAAAAGATTATCACGGTATCCACATCCTTTGACACCATATGCAAACACATTTTTTTTCTTTATTTCTTTCCTTCTTTTTTGCTGGCCTGAGTTTATTTGTTGTAGAAATGGAAAAACCTTAAAAATAATGCCTATTCAATCCAGAAACTGTGAATGGGAGAGTGGAGATGTCAACTTGTATGTACATTATATGTTTTGATGTAATCAGAAGCACTGGGAATATGTTGTACTTCGCTGTAAAAAAAAAAAAATCCATATCTGATATAGCTGTACTTTTTGTTGAAAATAAAACCTCTACAGAACTGTGTGTGGAGGCGTCAGTATGTGAGTGGGAGCATTGTGCTGGCTTTCCTGTCCTGTGACATAATCTCCTGTTTGGAGGGGCCATTCCCAACAGCTGACACATTAACTCCAGGATATATTGGAGGAAAGATTAAACAGCATTAGATGAACAACATAAGCGGCGGTCGACAAAGAAACAGATCAGTCCTTTTGACTGTGACTGCTCTGACGAAGCTGTTATCAATAAGTAATGAGAGTTATGCAAAAAGACATCCTGCGTGGCCTCGCTATAGTCTTGGTTGCTCACTATGCTTTCTGATGTTTGGTTGTCCAAATGCTTAACTTTTTTTTTTTTTGTCTGTTTCTTCTTCTTTTGTTCAGGCAAGATTTAAGACATCCTTGAGTGACACGGTCTCTCCATGCATATGTCTCTAACTTGAGTCTTAATGTAGAGGAAGTACCTAAGCGTGGGTTGGGTCGCCTCTTTTAAATGGGAATGCACTAAGGATGATGCAAAGAGGAAGAACGGATTGCCCCAAACTGTTCGAAGCCTCCGATGGGGACAGGGGACAATGCAAAGTGTTACTCTGGACTCTAGTGGCCGGCCGGGGTGTTACACTCTCTGCTGACGGGGCAGATTTTCCAACCGAATCGTGTCAGTGAGATTTGAAGAGCCTGAGAAATCAGCGTGAGCATTTATTGCAGTGTAAACACTAAAACTGGTTGTAAAACCGACGATACAGGAGAGCTAGAAAAAAAGACATTCAGTTAAAAAATTTTAAAAAACCACATCTGTGTACAGGGCAGGCCTCGGATTTAAAATACGTCCGAGCGTGAGCATCACCCCAGTTCAGATGTGGCGTGCTTTAAGTAATTCTTCAGGATGAGAGGAATGTCCAGACGGTCGATAGCCGGCTCCTTGATGGCAACGGGGATGTATCGTCGAATGGCCAGCCGAGTTTCTGACATCAGTGTTTTGGGGCAAACTAGGGGGGGGAAAGCGAGATATGAAGTTAGAAACTCTGCAGACTGAGGCAGTTCTCTGTAAGGTGCATCAAATTTTGTTTAGTTTAGTTTAGTTTTATTAGGATCCCCATTAGCTGCCAAATAAATGGCCACTAGTCTTCCTGGGGTCCTCACATGAAAAAAGGACATTACATTGTAATGTAATTTAAAGGCTCACCTCTCTCCTTCAGCAGCAGGAGCAGAGCTTCGTTCTGCTTTGTGGTTTTATCGATGATGAGCGTGGGCAAGAACACGTCGGCCCCGAAGTCTATGAGCAGCTGAATGTACTCCACCCCGCAGCCGTAGCGGAGGCACACCTCCAGGACCGTCTTCGGCTGCTTGATCCTGGCCAGCATCTTCTGGTCGGTGCAGTTGTAGTCGGGGTTGGCGCCGCGGAGCAGGAGCAGTCTGAAGCAGTCCAGGTGCCCGTACACGGCCGAGATGTAGAGCGGGCCCCTGCAGGCCGTGGCGTTGGAGGCCCACTCGGGGACCTTGGGTCGGACGTCCACCTCCGCCCCGAAGCGCAGCAGCTCCCGGAGCACGTCCACGTCGCCCTCCCGGGCGGCGGTCAGCAGCGGGGAGCAGTTGTTGTAGGGGCTGCCGTTGGGGTCGGCCCCGGCTTTCAGCAGGGCCACCACGCAGTCCAGATGTTTGCCGCTGACGGCTGTGAACAGAGGGGTCTGGGCCTTCACGTCCAAACTGTCTATCTGGAGTTTAAAAAAAAAAAAAAAAGCGCATCATGTTCAAGCAGTAAGAGACACAGTTGTCACACAATTGTGTTTGGTGATTAGAGGGAAAGCACTGCAGTGAAAAAGGAGGGTGTCACGCTCCTGACTCGGATTACTTTTTCCAGTTCAGTTACAAAAATGCCTGCTCTCGTTCTCTGAGGTGCAGGAAACAACAGCTTTGACAAGCGGTTTAAGCTCCCAAACACACAACACAGCAGAAACTATGTTAACAAGAAGCCGCAGAAAAAGAAACAATATGAGATCGAAAGCATGAGTTGTTGCTGTTTTTTTTTTGCTTTTTGGAGTCTGTTTCCCATAATGTTTCGAAACAGGAAGTAAATGATACTGTAAACAAATCAACACAACGTAAAATACAACACAAGAACAAAAACATGCCAATCCATCCAAAACGCCACACTGCAAAAGTAGAGATAAAAAAGTTAGAGACATAAAACCAAACAAAAACAAAACAAAAAAAGTTCAACAGTATAGATTTCTAAAGCACAAAACACTTTTTTTCACCTTCTGGGTTTAATTATGTTATTTATTTGGGACATATTTTAGAAAATACTGTTGTTTTGGGGGGTCGTTGTTACTGTTTATTTCTCTGCTTTTAGAAATATCTTTTTCTGAAACACCATTTTCATCTGCTCCTGCTACATCAGCGTCCCACAGCAGGCGGGGGGACGTGACAGAGCGGTGAGTAAAACGTGACACATTCACTGCCTTCAGACTGCTTTTTGCTTTAGCCGGATGTTCCCTCTGATTCTGAGCTGACACCTTCTGCTCAGCGCAAAATGAATGTACACAGGCGCTACACGTGAGATGGAGAGCTCCTCAGCCTTTACCTCCAGCTGAGAATTTATGATTGCTTCTGTGGCTTCCGCAGCACTTTAATGCGCTTTTAATGGAAAGGTAATGTGCTATGAATCACAGCGGAGCTGACAATAGCACTCCTGGTTGCCAGAGAGGGGAGCTCCATCACAACAGCCCCCGGTGGAAAAACAAAAAAAAACAGGGAATCTCCGTTATTGTAGCAAGTTCATTAAGCTGTTTTGCTTTAGTAGGAGGAAAAATTGCCGATGTGACATAACACAGTTTCACCGAAGATCTCATCATTCTGCCTTTAAAATAATACTTAGTTAATATTTCCTACTTAATATTGTAAGTGAAGAGGGAGAAGATGAAGTTGACTGACTGAAAAGAAAAAGAAGAGACCTCCCAGTAGAAACAATGAAAATGGATTTTGAGAGATAACTCAGAATTTAGCGTGGCAAAATATGTCAACTGTCACGAGTAAGCTATGCCAAATTCAAAGTAAAGGTCAAAGAGAAAAAGTTACAAATGGCAAGTTTGTGCAAAATGGAAACACATAGGAAAGAGAACTAAAACCCCAGTAACGCAAACTGAAACCATTAGGCCTGACAAAAAAAGAAACAGGAAATACCTGGGTTAGGCATCAGTGCCTGAGCTGTGAGATTAAAAAAGACATTTATCCTCCAAAGTTGAAACTTTATTGTACGAACTGAAAACATTGTTTAGTTTTTTCGAAGTCATTGTATCAAAGAATTTATACAGTATTAAAGAGCGAGAGGAGGGGTGTTAATGTACTAGTTTTATCTTAACTTGCCTCATATGTTCTGAGACTTTACCTTTACAAAATGCAACGTCTGCAGTGCAAAGCCAAAAATGTGTCTTTCTCTCTCTCTCTCTCTCTCTCTTTCTCTCTCCCTCTCTCTCTCTCTCTTCAGTGAAACAGCTGAAGGAACTTCCACCAAGAGTTGTGATTCCACACATTTTTCACCAGGGGTTTTAAAAAGCTGCAGATTCATGCACTGGAAACCTCTGTTTTAAACCAGAAAGAGCAAAAACACCACAACAAAAAAGGCTTATAGAACCAAATCTTTACATTTAAATATTTAAAGTGAGGAATTCAATCAGAACTCCACATAATTCCTCATTTCTTAGTTTTCGTCCTCAGTAAATCCATAAGAGCAAAAGGATCTTTGCCTTTGAAATCAAATTAATTGCGGCACGAAAGGAACAGCATTCAGCCATCTACACACAACGTTGGTTTTGAATCTCACCTCCGCGCCATGCTCCAACAGCACCTCCACACACTTGAGGTGGCCGAGGGCGGCGGCGGTGCGCAGTGGGGTCACGGGGACCCCCCAGCCACTGTGAGCGTTGATGCACCGCCTGTAACCCTCCTGAGAGAGCAGCTCCGAGAGCAGGGCGGCGTTGTCGCCGCTCACCGCGTCGTTCAGGGCCTGACACTGCTCGCCGTCCTCGTCCTCCTCCTTGGGCTGCAGCAGGGAGAAGATCTTTGAGATGTCCATCAAACTCATGTCGGCGGCTTGGCCGCTAGCCATGGTGGGATCGCAGGAAAGTCGGAGTCAAAGCGCCTCCATCTGCAGGAGCAGAGAGGAACACAGTCACTGAATTGAAAGCTTCTCGTAACCACCACTGTCTTCTAACCGTGAACACAAACTCACCTTGTGTTTAAAGATCCAAAGAGGTTTAGAGGAGAAGCTGGACTGTCAAAGCTCCATGATGGGTCACTCTTTGGAAGGAACGATGATAGAAACAAAAACCCTCTGATTTCTGTAGAGTCTTCACAGAAGTTATGCAAAGCTGTGGGCAAAGGTTCAGCACGCTGTTTGTGTGCGATTTAACTGACAATGGGGACCCAGCGCTACTATCCGGGGGAGATCAGGGGGACTAATTTTAGGCCACATAGGGGGGGCAGGCTAAACTTCCATTCTTGGAGAGTGGAGGCTCTTGGTTTATATTTAGAAAGGTGATAGGACTGTGACACGCTGCGTGATTGGCGAGTGTGACTCTCCCCGTGTCCAAAATGAAACAAACAAACAGCTAAAGCAAGGCACCTCTGTGCAAAGTGGTTTTGCGGGTGGCATTTTAAAGTCATCAGCTGCATTTGACGCTTTTCCAGTGTGAAGATCACACCGAATAACTTGTACAAAAAACGGCGTTTGCTGTGTTTGTGTTGTCACCCCGATCCCCTGATTCACACCAGAAGAGGCAGCCGCTTCGGTAAGTTTCAGCTGTGTGGCTGCCTGAGGCTTTAGTGGGCCATCCAGTCAGCTGTTCCAAAAGACGAAACTAAACCCACCCATGTCTTCTTACTGTCCCATGTTTAGACAGGGGCTGAGACATGCCTCATTCTCTTAGCAGATGGCAGATCATCAGATTCCTGGCATTGCACGCATACACAACAAGGGCTTGAATATTTATTTGAGCAAATTGGGAAAGAGCAAACGAATGAGGATGTCAGGGTTTCTGGCCGTAGAAACATCTTGAGCCTTATTGCAGATGCAATGGTGGAATTAGTGCATTCAGCAGCTGCACCGAAATCCAACAGGCCTTTCCATGGCAAGATTGTGGCATTCCTGTGTGCATCCTGCACTTCTTCATCTGTTGTAGGGCAAATATTTGATAAATTACCAAACAAAAAACATTTACTGCTCCTACATTTTGGATTGTATGGATTAAATACATAAATAAATAAATAAAAATGTATATCCATTCTTTTGTTTATGGTTATGCATATATAGTACATCAAAGCAGCATATTTGAGATAAAAACCCTTCTGTTGTAAAAAATAAATAACCTGTATAAGTAAGTATTCATGTTTTTCTTTAATGGATTTGACGGCTTTCCTGGATCATATTGATGGTTCTGTGGTTTTAATGTAGTTGGTCGGTGTGTGTAATCCCCCTTTTAGCCAGCAGGTGGCGGTAGAGGCGCGCTGGGAGCAGGAAGTGCTGCTGGACACCATCAAAGCAGCGAGTGCAGCCAGACGGACTTCAGGCTGAAAACCATTTTGGTTATGACAGGCGCTATATTTTGTAAAACTGTCCCAGGAAGTTCTAGAAGTGCAAGGGGTTGTTTAATGATAGCAATTATTTTCCTTTCAATAATGACCCGCTACTTCATTTACCACCACAAGCTTGACCCGTAAATACTGGTCAGCATTTTACTTTTTATTTTTTTGTCGTATTTTTTTATTTTTATTTGGGCACTTAACAGGGATAAACAATTTAAGAACCTTTCCAGGGCATAAGTAAATTATGTCTGCAGGTTTAATTTTCTTTCCTTTATGGAGGAACGGAGACAGGGACCGATGCGGGGAAGCTACACGGTGATAAGACCGAAACCTAGTTCCCCTGACCGGTGGGTTTGTCCGTTAGAGACCAATCTTCCCCCGGTCTGTGTCAAGGCCCCCCTGTCACGTCCAGCCTACCCCCACCACCCCGACCCAATATATTTTTAAAAATTCCGGAAACTTTCAAGGCAAGAAGACGTTTACTCGACTGCTAAAGTGTTTCTCTGCGGTTGGGCTTTTGTCGTGTGGCTCTCGTAAAGGTGGAGACCGCCGTCATTTCTCCAGACTAAGACTTTAAGGTGACGGGCTCCGCTCCCCTTTCTGTGGGTGTGGCGGCAGGAAAAGCCTCCGGCGGCCTTGACAGTCTTTTTTATCAGGCGGAACGAGACACTACTACCGCAGTTCCAAATGCTGAAGGGCAGACTAAATAATCACTCCAGCGAGTAGCTTTAATAGCAGATTAGCTTGATGTCTTCATTATTTTAGTTTTAATTCGACCCATCAGTTTATCTGTTGGCGATTAGGCACTTTTCAGGGGGTGGGTGCAAAAATTTCCCAAAGCCCTCTTATGCTCCTCACTGGATTTGGGAGGAACTTCTTTGGTGAAGATATGCGGGTCACAGCAACCTGGGGTTGCCTTAGTAACCACAAAGGAACGTAGAGTTGCCCTGGCAACAGATGAAATGAGGGGTTACCCTGACAAAAACGCTACAGGAACTCATTTAACAAATCCTAACTGTCCTCTTGGAGGCAGGTAGTTGCAGAGGAGTCAGTATATCACAGTATCAATAGAGTGGAAGGTAGAATGATGGTGGTGGAGTCAAACATGGTCCTCCTTTATTTATTTTCAAAGGCCAAGTCCTCCCATTTGCCCCCTTCGGGCGGTTCATCTGTTTGTGAGCAAACCACTACGTTGCAGAGAAAAGAGTCAACTGCTCGTCCTGAGGAGAAAGAAAATCTGCTAACGAGGTTAGTACAAAACAGCAACTTTATTTCTTTTTTTCATTGCCATGTCGAAGTTAAACACAAAACACTGGCCCCTCTTTTTTTGGGTGGTCACTAAACACTGTAAACATAAAAACATCGTCTATGGGGTTAACTAAGCGGTTAAAAGCACTTCATTTTATATAGGCACAAATAATATACAACAGCCATGGCAGCAGGCATGCACTGCAAAAAAAAGCTTCACAAAGATATATATCTAAGGCAATTAACAACAGTAACAAGGGCAACATTATTTAGACTTTTTTTTTTTGCATTATTGCATGTACAATGTTTGGGGTTCAATAAACTACAATGGAGGTCATTCAATAACGTGTAAACACATCCAAAACACAGAAAAGCACACACCAAATTAAATCACCGGATGCTAAATCAACTGTTAACAGATTTGAAACAATTACAAAGACAATTTATTAAAGTGGAGACTTCAGAGGAAATTGTCCTGAAACGCAGACCTTGTCACTAGAGAGAAACAGCTAATCCTGGATCAGTGGATTTTGGGCTGGCTGCTTGTAGGCGCCACTGAAGCTGAAGGTTAGGGTAGGATCTACTCATCTGGCTTCCTCTTGGGCTTCTTTGGGTTGCGGGAGCGGCTCTTGGCTTTGCATAACGGACAGATGGGAGCATTACGATGAATCTGCTGGTGGCAGGACAGGCAAGCCTGCAGAAAACAAAGAGTTGAGAGCAGTCGCTTTATTCACTGTCGGAACCTGATCTACCCGATTCATTTATCTAAGAAAGAAATCCAGTAATTCCTGTAAGTGTGTTTCTTTTTAGATATTAAACAGCTGCAACAGTCTTATCTCCACCACTCAGCCGGAGTGTTCACAGCGTAAACAGTATTTTTAAGTGTCTGTCGTGGAACCAACGTGTGAATGTACAAATGCTCTGCATTATGAGATACAGTGTAATATCTTAAGATAAGACGTTCTTTTTTCCTCACTCAAAAGAGAAATGTAGTTCTTTGTATTAGTGTACTTCGTGTGGATGGAGGCAGTAGGAAGAACTGGGGTTTAACGGCCCTAAAATAAAGAGAATGTGATGATCATACGGGGACGCCTCTGGCACCGTGACTACCGTTTGTCAAGGGGCTGAGCCGGAGCGCCTTGTAAAACACTTTAAGTCCTTCAAGAATTAAAGTTTTATTTGCCGATAAAAATTCAAATCGAGCTAATAAACGCAGCGCGGTGTGTTAAACTAAGCAGCAGTAGGTAGCGGTATCTGTTCAGACAGAGAGAGGAAGCATTACCTACGCCCCACATGCTGCTCGTTTGACGAAAAATGCTAGAGGTGAGAAAATAAATAAAGACCTGGCGCCGCAGCTAATTGACGCCGACTGAAAACCAAGGAGAGCTAAGCCTCTTGTTGATCGTCCGTCAGATTGACCCCATTCTTAACCAAGCCTTTCTGTCCCTTCCTGTGACATCAGCAGGTCTTGTGGCCTGGTGATGCACCCAGTTCTGATCTAGTCAGATATTCATCTGAGAATGCGGCATGAGAGCCCCAGAGGGGAGATTCACGCTTGGTGCTGATATGCTCAGCTGCTACCAGGTTAAAGGACAGTAGAGCGTGCATGTTTGGTCATGTGCCTCCACATTGCCGCGTTTAAGAAAATCGAGCTTGCCGCCTGCCGTTTGCTGCTAGCTGAGGAGGCTCGAAACTCTGCGCATATGAGGGCGAGGAGAGCCTGCGGGCAAAACAAAGGCTGCCTGATTAAGGTAGCCACAGTACGGCGTTCACCTGAGAGACTGCATTCCAGTAGATCCGCATCATCAGAGAGTCGTGACTAACCTGTGGTCGGGAGCGAAGTCTGAGTGATCGCAATAAAATGCTGAAGACAACTCTCACTCTCAATGGGTCACAAAGGGGATGTCATTTTTTAACGTAAATTGAAGTTCATTTTCAATTCTTCTGCTTTTGTCACGGTAGGAGAAGCACAGGTGTGTTAATGATGTCTGCATTAACCAGGCGGAACGGTCCTGACGTCGATCATACCGGTTCATTATCGGGGTTTACTGGAGTGCTAAAAGGAAGTTATCTGTCATTTGTCATTCTTTACAGGTGTATTTTTACACTAAGAGACAAGCCACAAATATTTCTGTGAAACTGTCCCAAAGAATTACACTAGAAAACAGACGTTCGCTTTAAAATATGAGGTTGACGACATGTTAAGCGACAGGAAGTCTGGTTACTGTATGTGAGGCCCTTGTAGGCTGACGAATAATCTAATTATCAATACGATAAACGCGCTCAGCTAAAAGAGCACCTGCGCAGAAACCAAAAGTAAGCACTTCGCATAACGTGTTCCGTTTTTACAGAGCAGGGGGAAAAAAGCATAACGACATTAAGTGTACGTCTGGCTCATGATTCTGCAAAGCTCTGGCTGAGGATTACTGGCTGGCACGCAGCAATGGAGCACTCCAGTACAGCGAATACAAATGACTTCCTTTGGCAGAGGCTTTCGCTCCGCTAAGCTCATGATCTAGTTTTGTGTTTCGTTGAATTCGATTTGAAAATGCAAATGAGCAAGAACAGGTTGGCTCGGAAGTTTAAATGAAGTCAGGATTGTCGGAGGTGGAGTGATTTCAGCTCAAGTGGCCCGTCTCTGCTCCCGACTGATGTTCTTTCACGGCCCCTTCTCTGTTTATTAGAATAAACGCCTGTTTGCGATTTGAACCGTCAGGAGGGATACCTTCATAGGCGGGGGCTGCTGCCTGAAGGTGGCCGTCTGCCGGGCGTCCTGCTTTCTGGACACCTGGAGCTGCTGCGCCGCCGCCGCCGCCGCAGCGAGGGATTCTGGGATGGCGGGCTCGTGCGGCTCCTTCTGCCACTCTGCTTTCTGCTTCTCAAAGTAACTGTTCAAAGAAAGAGAGAAAGACGTTCCTTCCAGCTCGGGAGTCACGGGCTGCGTTACCCCATCTATGGTGCTCATGTAGGGATGAGACGCTGATGACATTTCAGTTGAGCTCGCACGCTTTTTCTTTTCTCTTTTTTTTTTACGTTCAGCTCTGAGCAAAAGCTAAAAGTTATTGCGAGATTGTTTGTCTGAGTGTGTGTGTGTGTGTGTGTGTGTGTGGGTGTGTAGGCGGGAGAGGGCTGGGAAAGTAATGTGGCCTTGGACTCTATGCCTGACTGGCTCAATTTCAAAAATAAAAGTGATATCCTGTTTCATTAGGCTCTCTGGTTCCTCTCAGAATAGGTCAATGATGGAACAGGACTATGAACATTCATAGAGTAAATTTAAGGTTTTCACATCTCCTCCAGAGCCCATCAACATGCCAGACATTCAGCATTATAAACAGTCATTACAGAAACATGAGCATTACATACATATCTCATAAATGGATTCAGGGCCATGCTGGTTTTTCTTTCAAGCTGGTATTCCAGTTAAATTTTCACATTTACTGAGGTGTAAAAATGTTAACTTTTGTGCTCTTATGTTGCTCTCAAATCGCATTTTAAAATGTACCCGATGCACTTTTGGAGGTGTGATTTAATTTTCTCCAAAACGGCCCCATCACAGTCTGTAACACAATCACAGCGAACGTTATTATTAGTAGTACAATTGCTGAAGAGCCACGTGTAAATGGCCGTTTCAGCGTCCCCCCCCCCCCCTTCACACGATTGTAAGTCCATCCCTCCTGTCCAGATGGGGTCTGTCTTCTCAGAGAAGAGAAAGCAGAACATAAGCTGCAGCTTTCCAAGTGTCTTATGGCTCAGGAAACATGGAGGAGCGCAACACGGAGGAGGGGGGGGCGGCATAGAGAGACAAATACCACCTGTCCAGCAATAGACTCATTACTCGAACTTCCTCAGCTAAACCGAGAGGCCTGCCAGCTAACAGAGCTGTCAGCACACTGAGGAGAACTCTTTCTGCTGCTTTCTCCTTCTCCCTGAACAAGCCATCTTTTGTTTTTTGTTTTTTTTAAATGCAGGAATGTCACACCTTAACTGAAACATCAACCAGCTACAGATCTGCAGATCTCTATGGCGGATGGGCGATAAGAGGTTTTCTTTACAACTGACCTCGCAGACACTTGAACATAAGAACATGACCTTTAGCACCATTGATCACACAGCTTATAAATAAACTACTCATGCATCATTAGAGCGTTCAGCCAGTGGCACTTTGCCACAGAGCAAAATACGGATTATGAAATTAAAACAACCTTTTTTTTAAAAAAGAAATCTTAGGGGACTGGAGTATCTTTTGTCCAAAAACTGAGATAAGCTTCACCTCTATATTCTTGGATCATCAGCTATTATTTGTTCCAGCACATCGTACAATCATCCACTGTTAATGGATGTCAGCCGGCAGTCTTCCTGCAGGAAGTCTACTTGTCTGACCCCCCTGATGTACCTCCAATTTTGTGGATAACAGATTTTTTGCAGCCTTAAATGGGTTTACTCATCCCCAGGATTTTTTTTGTCAGCTTGTGAAGCTGTAGAGTCTGAACAAATGAAGGGAAAATCTAGTCGGTCGTGAATTTCTAGACAAGGAAACAGACTAAATGATTGAGAGAATAGCACTCCATACAAATAGCTTTCTCAGAAAACCATTGGTGATCCACTTAAATCACTGCAATTCTTTGGTTTCATGTGATAATTCATATTTTCTGTTCCTCTGCACTCATCATTCAATATTGATTCTCATATTTAAATCTTTTTTAAAACAAAAACAACCATGTAATCAATGGAAATACATACATTTCCAATTGTTTGGGGGAAAAAAGTAAATAGTATAAACTACAGGAGTAAAACTTGGACATTAAAAAAGAAAAGCTGAAAGAAAAATTAAAATCAGAAGCATGATAGCAGTGCACACATCAATTCTGTTGGTGCCTCCTATAGAGTGACACTGGAGAGCATCATGAGTAATATTTATGGATCCTAAATAGCGTTGGGCAGCATCTAAATTTTGATCCCTTCATACTCCGCATTTTACAGTATTACCGCGACTAATTCCAAATGATGACTTCAGGCTCAGACAGCGTCGACGTTCAACGTGTTAACCTCTCTCACAGTCACCTTCTTATTACATCATTTACATATTGCTTCATCAGTATTTACTGGCTCCCCCTTCTCATTTGCTAGGAACCGGAAATACGGCCAGACTCCAGAAGTCGTGTTTTTCTTAGCGACGAGGTCACTCAACCTACAATCTTTCTCTCTCTCTTTGCTCTCTCCTCCAAGCTGTCACATGATGACATCACATTTATAAATTTTATCAAAAGTCTCACTACTGTAAAAGTAAAGCTGAAAATTCAACCATATATAAGTGATGCTGGACATAGAATCATCTTAAGGCATTGATATAATTATATCTTGTATTTAATCCTTATCTCCTATAGAAGCACATTGTTTTGTTTTTTTTATGACTGTATTGAAACTGGTACCACTGCTTCTGAAAAATATCACCGGTATACATTATTACAATATTCCCGCTCAAACCTGATCCTTAATAAAGATAAAGCCTCTGTCGTGTCATTTGCTAGTTTGCCATGTAGCATTTAGTGTACACTGAATGGCGCCAATACGACAGAGATCGGGAGTTGAGATTGACACAGTGGTCCTGATACCAATCAGTCAAAAAGCAACAACTGATGTTGAGCATCAATCAGTGTCATCCCTAATTTGTACCTGCATCCCTGCTCCAAGCCATACAGAAGTGACTGTGTTTTAGATGAACTGAAACAAGATCCTCTCCCGGTAAAGATATTTGTTCCACAACGAGCTCGGGAACCTCACTACAACATAGTGTCACATTTCGATTGGATATTCAAGTAAATTTTAGCACGAGCTCTTCCGCAAAGAACAGGTGTCACTTTGTTGTCGGCACTCAAAATATGACACCGTGGTGGCAGAAGTGTAGAGAACTATCATTTGCCCTTGACATTTGAGCAGTGAGATCTGAAACTTGTGATTCTACACGCCTATTAGGCAGAGGTCCTAGGTTACGATGACCTGCAGTCATCCATCAACTCGACAGCGGCTCCAGCCATTAAACTTTGGCACCCTTTACTTTACAGAATGAGAAGTTAAACTATATTCTACAATAAATATGCTGTCTTTTACATTATTTTTTGGCTATTTTAACTTCACATAAACCAACCCCCCTCCATGCCTCCTCCATTTTACTCTAGTGCCATCATCAGTCATAAATTACAACCTGTTGAGTAACGAATGCGCCCGGTCGAGGCCTGCTGCCCCTACTGTTGCTGGTTGAAATGAGGCAATGGAAAGAACAGTAAATTACTCTTCAAACTCCAAGATGGGAAAATATAGCACAGGGGTGGTTTCTTTTGGTCAACTGATTGTAATAACATACATGGTCCACACATGTATGCACTTGCCATCACCTATAAATAATAATAATATGTTGGTTTTAGACAACTTTGTCAGCAGAAAATCAGAATAGAGCAACCAGAAATGTAAGTGGAAATTTAGTTGGGTCCTTAATGCGGATAGTTGTGAGTTCACCAACTCTGTCCTCACTCTGTGCTGAGTGTTAGCATGATGCTACATGAGGAAGCATTTTTTGTTGCATTCTTGCTGACTAGGTGTGCTAAAATGCATGTGTATCTTCGCAGTTATAAAACATCTAAATGCAGAAATGTGCGAGCAACTCTTCAGTCTGCCCAAAGGCCAATGTTCCAGGAGTTTATATCACTCCATAACACTATGTTCCTTATAAAGAGCAGAATATAGGGGAGCCCATAACGAAGTGAGAATATCTTATCAAACAGCTCATTTTGGGAACCGGAACTTAGAATTTTAGATGGTGATCCATGAGCATGATCTTGTTTGGCTCTAATCTACGTGAACTGAGCATTGGACTAGCTCTTGCAAAGTGTGAACTATGTAAACTGCATTTTGATGAGATTAAACCATCTTGACTATCAATGCTTTAAAGCAAATTACCATAACCATATGGTAACCATAATATTCTTTCCATCTTTCAATTTAGTGTCAACGACTAACTGTAAGAAATTCTGTTTAGGGAGAGTTAAAGATAAAATTGTCTAAACTTTGTGTGTCTAATAATGCATGTGTATACTGACTCCAAAGAGAGCTTCTCCTCTTCTTCATTCAAATTAGGCAGACGGTGCAGTCCTAAAGTCATCCTGAGGGCATCAACATGCTCCTTCAGAGGTTTGTACTCATCATGAAGGCGACGAGTTGTTTCTAATAGTTTGTTCAGGTCATTCTCTGACTGCTTGATGGTGCTCTCCATCTGAAAGGACAAAAGTTGATAATTGTATATATCTGCTGGTATTACATACACTATAAAATACTCACAGTTGCTCCAAGACATCACATTTCACAGAGACAACATCATTTATGAATAACACTGGGACTTTATTTTTCATTTTTCATAAAAAATAAGAGCTGCTATTTTAGCAACACATGGCTCATAAAACATTCTTCTCAGAGGATGATTTGTAACCTAAAGACAACCAGTTTGGTTCAGGTACAGGTTCTGATAAAAACCTTCTGAAATTAGATACCTTTTTTTCCCCTAACCTTTGTTGTTGCAGACAGATAATTAAAAAGGGTTCGCTATTAGCTCAAACACTTCAGAAGTTACCACATACCACATTAATATCTGCATGGATAAGGCGCAGCTCCTCTACATGTGCCATCTTCTCTTGTAAAAGCAGATCCATCTCTTGTTTGTACTCTTTCAGGTGTTTCTCTTCCGACTCCAGGGCCTCGAATTCCATCTTCAGACGAGACTTGATCTTTTGCATCTGGACTGTCTTGTTGCTGCAGTTAAAGAGACAGACAACAAACCCCAGCTGTGAGTTTTTTCCTCTCCCCTAATGCCAGATAGGCAAAACAACTCGCCTTAAAATAATAAACAGCACATAAAACAAGTAAAAATCTAATAAATACTCACACAATCATTTCCAGCGACTCTCAAGTGCTACAAGTGAGGGTATATTTGCCCAGACATTTCATCATAAACATCAAACATTGGGACCAATACATTTAATGCACCGTTTATTATACTAATAAATAAATACATTTTATTGATCAATTACCCAAAATTACTTAGTAAACATGTGTCTACAATTATACACAAACGATTAAACTAACTCATCCTTGAAATCAGGCAACTAGTTAGTCTAAGACATCCTTACTTAAGTAGCTAGCTTACAAATCGAAACAATTAGCAGCGCACATCTGTCAATTGACGTTAAACATCTGGAATGTTGATGCATAATCCCCATATGCATTTAAGCGGCAACTTGTGTGTGTCTATATTATTACAAACTCGTGTGTCGGCCCTGTCAGAGACGAGCTAGTATAAAGCTAGAGCAGCAAATGCTTTTTAAATCCCCGCAGAACGGCTAATATTAGCTAAGTCAGAAACAAAAGGAAAGCAGGGGGCTCGTTCCCGAACTGCTAACGTTAGCTAAGTTAACGTTTCTCGCGACTTGCCAAACATCTGGAAAGGCTTTCGCCGGCGTCGACATCCCAGCTTTTACCGTATTTCCAGGATATTCTCCAGTTTGCACATTATTTCTTGTTCGTCCCCCATCATTTAGCAGTCCTTTGTCGCTGAGCTGGCCGGCTACAGTTACCCCACAAGGCCACGGTGGTCTCCCTTGTTGATATGGGGGAGAAAAAAAAAAACAATAGCCAGCCAGCCAACGTGAGCGCGCATAAGGCACGCGCCCGCAAAGTGAAACTGTGGCAACGTAAAACTACAGGAAGCGAGAACTACCCCCCCCTTTTCTTTTTTTTTCTGGAATTTAAAATATGAAGTATTCGCTTCCTGTCTGAAAGTGTCTGTAAAAAACTGCAGTTTGCCTCTTTAAAAAAAAAAAAAGATCTAATTAAGCTATCACAAAAATATCTGTACGCACATTGTGAGTGAATAGAATCAGTCAACAAGGTGGCTATTGCTTACATATGGTTCCACTTCTGTAGTAAGGGGAAATTCAATATCTTGCTCTCATTGCACTTAAGGATCGGACTGAACTGTTAGTGAATTGGATCTAGGGATCACAAACCGTCTAAGCTAAATGTATTTGCTGCACATGCTGACATGTTATGAATATGGTTGCGCTTCAGATTTCCAGAAGAGCGTTGCCGACATGGCGATGACTGAAAACCTGGCACCAGAGCCGAGCCAGAGTATCAGAGGTCAAATTGTTACGTCTCTTTAACTCAGAGTCCAAAAGTGACCATATTTTAAATCATTTATTTGTATTCCCAAAGTGTGAAGACTTGCATGTCCTAAAAACACAAAAACAACTATCAATGTGTAATGTTGTAAGTGGAAGAAAGTTCATGACAGCATCTCGTGGTCTTCAATGGCAACCCCTATTCCCACAAAGTTAGAACCCATAAAAACAAATCACACGTCAAAATATCATTTAATGTTGAATTATTTTAAAAACGTATTTACATATCTTGAATTTGAGGGCAGAATTACACCTTTAAAATTAATAGTAACAAAAGTCAGGGGAAACAGGTTTGTGTTAGAAAGACGCGGCTAGATGGACACACTCATTTGGTCAATAAACTCTGTTTCTGGACAGCTTTAAAAGAAAAAGGATTCTTCTTCTTTGAGGTATTTTATGCAATGAGATATAATATGAACTGGTACATTTTAAGAAGTAGTAGTAAAGTTAGTAACTTGTAGTGTTTGATTTTATTTATCTATTGTTTTATTCAATTTTTTTTATGAGACATTGACATTTTTGTGCTCAATTTACGTGTGCACTTCACATCGCAGCCAACATTTCTGGCATTGGAGTTGTAGTTACTGCGAAGCTACGATTTGTCTGGTGACCCATTGGCCTTGTCCTTACTCATAATGGAGGCAGCTCTGTGTATGTCTGTGTATATCCTGTGACATGGTTCCATCTCTCTTTCTTCATCCGACATACATCTTTTAACACTGTCGTGAGTCTATAATTTACCTTAAACAGAACTGCTCTTTTTTTCTTTCGAACGTGTCGTAATATTTCACCCTCTGTCCGCCCAGGAAGTATTTAGAGACTGATACATGTCCCCTGAGACCTCTGCAAGTCAGTACTCTCTTCCTGAAGGTTTCTTGTAGGTTTCCACCAGTTTCCGTGTTATCAAATGGCTTCTCCAACTCTTTAAACATTGCTTGATTCATTGATTCTTTAAAGGGTGTGGTCATTTTTAGCTTGCCTAATCATCTTCTTTCATACCATATTCTTGTTTCTCCAAAGCGTTATAGAGTCTCACGTGTTGCTCCTTTGGAGACCCTCAGTCTGGCCATGACGTCATGATGAAAGTCCATGTTTGCTAAGAATAACAATATACCTTCCGATAAGCTCTCTTAGTAGTGTTGCCATGTTTTCCATTTTCACAATGCTGCATAGTAGGCAATGTTCTGGCAGAGACCTCAGGCACACCCGTATTCATAACAGGTGAACAATGACTACATGTAGGTTTACATGAAGGAGCCTCTCAGTAGATCAAGTATGCTCCAGTCTCCTCTGA